CCCCCCCCCCCCCCCTCTCCTGGAAGGGAGAGGGGGGTAATGTAAAACACATAATCAACTTGGTCTGGCCTTATCGGTTACAATTTTAGTACTTTTATTGTCTTGTGTATAGTAATAAATAATTGGTTTCAAATTTTTAATGCTTACGACCTGTAGTTAAATTGGCAGTGTAGTTCTGTAGTTGTAAAGTCTCTCCCTTGTCGTAACAACGTACTATAACATTTTTGGATAGACTTGATTGTAGATTCGACTAATCATAAACTTTAAAGCAAAAAATCCAGAATTCAATTATCGTTATATAATTTTCATGTGATGGTCGATCATCAGCTGATCACAATAATTTCAGAATTTGAGAAAAAAGCGCTAAATTATTACGTCACTGATTTAAGTCAATAAAAATCTTTTTTTGCCATCCCTAGTTGCAATGCTGAAGCAGTTATCGACAAAACTAAAACATAAAAAAACTGCTAATTCATTTATTATTTGGTGTATCAAAACAAGTGCACGAAAGTAATATAGTGTAACTTTTAAAAAATTAATTTTTTTTGTGTCTGTGTTCAAATTAACAATTAAAACAATTAATAAAGAATTCAAGAAAAATACACCTATTACAAGTGTAATTTAATGTTACGATTTATTTAAATAAATCTATTTGTGAGATATCAATTTTAAAAATTAGTTATGTAAGCAGTATTATACATGTATATATATACGTAACATTCTTTAACTTTCAATACTTAATTTCTTTCAAGCATGGACTTGAAAAAGTATTAGCATGAACGAGTCACTTGTCATTCCTTATTAATGTCATAATGTCATCTACAACGAAGAATAATAACACTAATTATCGTGATGGGTGCATGAGCCCAGGATATAAAGTATTAAAAAATGGTTTTATAGGTAATTTACTTCGTAAATTAACCTTAAAACCAAATAAATCTGGCAGGTCCCAAGAATCAACCACAAACTCTTCCTTGACAAATCCCGACTCAATAAATTCCACTCTAAATAATAAAAAAGATGATGCAAAACTACGAACCCCTAATAAAGTAAAAGTAAAATCGGATCACAAAGGAAAATATATTCCAATTGAAATTCCTATTACTTATGAGCAAGTGATAGATAATTCATCTCAACATTCTCACAATCGTCCAAAAGGTATTCATCAATTAGAACAAAAGGTTGACGCCCTTGGTTCTCAATTAAATCAGATTGAACAGATGTTAAGCTCTTTGGTTCAATCTCCTAAAGTTATTAATTGTATCAAAGATAATTTGAATAGTGTCAAAGATGATTTTAATAATGTCAAAGATAGTTTGAATAATGACGAAAAGATTGATAAAAAGGATAATACTGATGAAAGTAAAAACACAACCGAAGAAAATTTAAATTCTCAGGCAAAAAATGTTACTCCTAAATCTTCTGATAATGAAGCATCAAAAAATTCAACAAAAACAAGTCACGATCATATTCATTACTGTAATAAATGTGGTCGCCAGAAACTTCTTGATGAATGGTGTGAACCATGTGAACGAGATAATTTCAAATCCAACTTTCCTAACTGGACTAGTGGAAACGAAATCATTGATACCTTTATACGAGAGACTCAACTTTCTGCCACCACAAAGTTCAATTTCTTAGAGTGGATTCCTTACTCTAGTTTAACTAATATTAAACCTGTCGGTAAAGGTGGATTTGGTGAAGTTTTTTCTGCAAAATGGATTGACGGTCCAAGAACTAAATGGAATGTGGAAAAAGAAGTTTGGGAAAGATATTCTAACGTCAACGTCGCTTTAAAAAGTTTACTGGAATTAAAAGAGGAAGATTTTACTAGCGAGATCTTTAAAGAGGTGCATATTTTAATTCTATTAATAAAGTATTATTATTTATTAACTTTCTTATTAAATTGACTATTTTAATTTAAAAAAAATACTTTTTTCATTTTCTAATTAAATAGCTCAAATCCCATTTAATGTCTAACGATCAAGTGGTAGGTCGTTTCAATATTTTACGCACCTACGGCATGACCCGTGACCCCGATTCAAAGATCTATATGATAGTAATGACATTAGCTGACGATGGTGATTTGTCTGCATACTTGAAAAAACATTTCTCTTCACTTACTTTTATAAAAAGACTTGATATTCTTTACGATATGGCCATTGGTTTATGTCAAATTCATAAATCTGGACTCATGCATCGTGATTTACATAGTGGTAATGTGATGTGTCAACGACTAAAAGGTAGAGATCCAGGCCGTGATGAAGAATATCGATTTGTGATTGGTGATTTGGGCCAGGCAACTCCGCCAAAGAAAGATGATGATAATCAAGTGTTTGGCGTATTACCTTATATTGCACCAGAGGTATTAGGTAAAAAGCCGTATACCCAAGCAGCTGATGTATATAGCTTTGGAATTCTTATGTGGGAAATTTTAACCGGTTTAAAAGCTTTCGGTGACGTTGCGCAAGATACGTCTTTAATGCTAGAGATTTGTTCAGGATTGAGACCTGAGATTCCATCTAATACTCCAAAATTGTATGCAGACTTGATGCAAAAATGTTGGAGCGGTAATATTGAAAAAAGATCAACTGCATTAGAAATATATTCGGCAATTGGGACATGGTTAAATCAATGCTTATTTGTTCCAAATTCTAATACTGCTAAAGAATTTAAAAGGGGAGATGAGCTAAGCTCAAAAACTCCAAGTTTACAAAAACTGCATCCAAATAATGTTCTGTATAGTACTTATCATGATGTTAAAGGTATGTTTTTATGATAAAAATATATACATATTTTTCATTATAATATTTGTCAAGACTTAGTAAGCTAAATTACATTCATTAAATTTTAAACTTAGCATTAACAACGAAATTGGATTTCGATAAGGAAGATTCAAAACTAGATATCATAGATAACGACTTTGAAATCCCAGATTCCATAGATGACGAAGACAACGAAGACTCCGCTTTTGAGATCCCTGATTCTTTGGACGAAGACGCAGATTCTCTAGATGATGTTGAAGATTCCATAGACAATATAGACTTAGATGATATTCCTATAACTCCAACTGATGAATCATCAGTACTAAATAAGTTAAATATCGAAAATATCAAAAAAGAAATTGTTTCTAAGCCTTCAGCTCAACCAATAAGTTCAACTAATAACGATGTTAAAGTAAAAGAAAATGGTGAGTTTAGGTATTCATATCAGTCGATGGGATCTGTAAAGTTTGAATTTTCTATTGATGATTTTGAAGATTAAATTTTGGCATTATAGATAATTTTATTCATTCGTTTATTTTAATCAATATAATTATTACTGTATATGCATGCATTCTGTTTATTAGCTTATTGTAGCATTATTAAATATTGTATTTAGTATCTTGATGCTTTACATATTCTTTGATCTGAAGAATAGATATTTTTTATAACAAAAGCCAGCATCGTCTCTCAATCATGCGACTGATAATTCACTCGAATCTGAAAATCATGTGTAATGTACGAAAAGCCTCGTTCTATAATCATGTAAAAGTAGTCGTAGATTTTCGACCGAGCTATCAATATCTACATTATCATCCGGCTAATTCATCTAAAATAATATTATAAAACGCCCAAAATCATAGTATACGCACATTTTCTCAACGGTCATTTTCCCTAAAGATATTTACTGCGTAGTTGTAAGTTGTACGTATTGTTAGTAAATTGTCACACTATGTGACGTTGGATGAATGAAATGAATGACCGTCGAGAAAATGATACGTAACAATCTTTATATGCGAGTAATAATATTGTTGCGTAAAAAAAAATCGACTTACTAGCTAAATACTTTGAGCAACTAGAGAAATTTGCGTGACCTAATATGTTTCTTACCAAATAATTTTACCTGAAATTTTTTCAATTATCGTAGTACATTTGTAATTGCGTTCAATTCTATCTAATGCGGCAAAGGAAAGAGTTAAATTTATTAAAGGTTTGATGGTTAAAAAGGATCGTGTACTACTAATTAAATGCTGCGGCAGTGATATAGACCAACCAAAACTTCAGGCGTCAACTTGGAGTCATATAGAGATTGTACCCGTCAAAAATTTTAACTCCGGGTTACCCGCCCGTACAAATAATCATTACCGGGTTACAAACCGGGTCACCCGGGTAAAC